TGACATCTCCGAATAGTCCTGAACCCCTGCATAAATGAATATGAATTTTTGAAGGCACGTATATTCTGATGCATGTTTGCTTCTATTTCCAGTTTTGTCCGTCGGTTAGTTGTTCATCTGATGTGCATTTCTGTGTTGGTTTGCACAGGGTGCTGGACGCTGAGGATCTGGTCGGTTGTGCCGAATTCCACCGTGTACCCATGATTGAGGTGAACGCTTTTGCCGACCGAATGAATCAACTTGGATTTAATCTGTCTCAAGCGGAGTTTCTGAAAGTATGGAAGAGGTGAGCCAGATAAATTGAAACTATTTGAAGTTTCTCTGCAACAACGTTTTTAGTCTCTCATACACACCTTTTCCCCTGTATTCAAGTGAGTGACAGCAATGAACAGAACCGTATGCATTCAATTATTTTTCACACAGCTCATTTCAGGGCTTCAATGTAAATAATAATTATATGATAACTTCCTCAAACAGCATGGTGGAATGCTTATCATTTTGTTAAAATGTCTTGGTTTCTGCGTAACTACTGACTCAATACGAGTTGTAAAATTGTCGCACAAAGCGAAAGTATTTGATTGATGAAGCAGTACACGATTACCTTGAAAATGTAATACATAAAAACAATAAAAATAACCAAATGCAGAGTTTTGACACACTCGAAATTCAGTGTATACGAAGGCATCCGAAGACTGAATGTCTCTTCGCACTAACTTGACAGACGGCATTTGCAAACGTTGCGTTATCTCATCCCCAGTGATCGGATCAAATAAAAGATATTTACGAGACACTAAAGATTCGTGTACGTTATGCTATCACTTGAGGAAATTTAAAAAAAAATACCCAGCAAAAGTAATGTGTTTCAGTTTCAAACGTTTTACGGGATGAATGGAACGAACGATACGAGAGTTCTACCATTTGATTTGACACAACTTTCGTTCTCTTTATTTTCAAAGCGACTCTACCAGTCATGACTTTCGGGAGGAAAACCATGAATATATAAACGTAATTTGAAACCATTTATCATATTATTCAAACTTAAGCCTAAAACGATGTATAAAATCCAGATATTTTACGTAAAAGATCAAAATCATTGAAACAAATTCTAAATTCTGAAATTATTCATGCCGCACACAGTCAATCAAATGGGGCTCGTGAGACGAGCATGCGTTGGAGCATCTCATCATCTCAGTGCATACATAGCATTGACACCTTATGTACAGCATTCATTTGAAAGTATACATACAGAAACAAAGTGAATCTCGCGAAGCTGTGATGTGAATATTAGCTGTTTTTTTTAAAAAAATAACGGGGATTTCATAGCGCATACAAGTGATTGAGTCAGATCTGAGTAAATTTGCACTACATCTTTCAGGCCATCAAACAAGTTATATTTTATCGATGGTCTGGCATGAGACCAAACGTTTCACTTACCAGAGCTAATGCTTTTTCATCAATAATTTACCAATTCAGTTCTGGACGTATGTGGGGGACTTTAATTTTCGTGCGCTTAGGTCATGCACAGGGGCCGATAAAATCCGCGCAGAATGCTTTACAAAGGAAATTAAGCCTATGAACTTATTGAGAGCGTGAGTTCGACTATGATTGGTTAACCACGGTCTGTAAGTCTTTATCAGTTAGAGTGGTCTGATTAGGTATGCCTTCTTTTTAAATACCTTGACTGTGACAGAAATTGACGAGCCCTTGTACAGGTTTTATGAAATTCGTTGCTTCCATTTACCAGTCCATCTCAGATAAACAACTGTTAATTATTCTCAAAAGGATACATTACCAGTCTTATCCTACCTTTTACTGAAAAAAACCGAATAATACACATTTCATGATTGGCTTGAAAACGAACAGGAAATAAATTGAAAATGTCATCCTAACTATCACAACAAAAGGACGTCAATAAACGTAGTAATTATTGAATTGAGCAAATAATTTTTGTTTGACCGAAGCATCCTTTTTCATTATCTATAAGCACACACAACTGTCCTTCTGGAAGATATGTTATGTGCATTTTTGGTAGAACAGACGTAAATGAATCACATGACCGTGTTCGTTTACAGTCGCAGTTGGACCGCCAGAACGAACGCTAATACGGGATTTTTATGCTTAATCCAATTTACGATTGCTTCCATCCTCATTTACGCGAAAAAAATACGTGGATCCAATTTGAACCATCCGCGTGATTCTGTTCTGTGTATATGGGGTTGTACAAAACACGGTATGTACTTAGTCACTTTCCAATTTGATGAAAACTGAGACGATTTGTATGTCTGGATAAGATTCCAGTTATCTTTATTTATTTGTCAATTTAAGTCTTTATCTCTGAATCCATGAAACATGTCAGTTAGGTTCATAGGAGCTCTTAATGCAAACATAAAAGTTATAATCAAAAATATCTTCCGATGGAATATTGTAGGAATCAATCTCGCAATCGATTTATAATACATTCCACCTCGGTCTCCAGTTATCGAATAACTCGCCTTTTTAACTGTTGGTTGCAGCGGAAATCAGATATACCTGCCTTTGAAGTGACCAAATCGGTATGTTTAATCAGTGTCTCTCACTCTCCAAGTTGAAGCGTCCCGCCCATATAATGATCAGCAAAAACAAGCATTTTATTTGATGTTAAAGGGAATATATACAATCCAGAGAATGTGCTTTATTAGTGCACATTTACCGACATTCATAGATCAGGACTAGAGGTGGGGGGAAATCAGATTGAGACAGCGTAACCTTATGCTCAATGCATTTCTGTCCCAGAAAGATTTTTATTCGATATACAAAGCATATTACGCAACAGTTTTTACGAGGAATTCCGAACTATGTTGTGCCATCAGGTTTCATTAAGTTTAGGAGTCTCATGACAAACCTACCGTTCTTTATTGAGATCAGAAATCATTAGAAAATGCAATACAAAGTAAAACAACTCAACCGACATTGGATTCCCTAACAGGCCATTTTAGCACCCCCAATTGGATTTATTTTAAACGTGGCAAGTGAAATTTAAGTAATTTTAATTTTTACAATATATTTTGGATATTACTACTTCAAATGTGTTGCAATGTGGTAAGCTGTAGAAAGTGTCTTATCAAAACATGTTGATTAATTGATTTGAATCTACTTTGCACATACTTATGATCAATAATTTTAGTTTTCTTATATGTGAATTCAATGACAATTTATAATGATTACCAATCAGTAATGTATTATGAAAACATTATTGGTTTTCTGGCATCAGGTATTTAAAATTAAACTCTTCCTTTCTCCTACCCCATTTTATTCTATTATTTATGAAGTTTTGCTATCCTGCATTTGTATATTAAACTAGAAGCTTGAGAATGAATAATGAAAAAGAACTCTTTATTTCAACGATCTATTTTATGGACTATAGGGATATTTTAACTGTTACGATTATCCGACGATCCGCTGACCTTTTAGATGCTCAACTGGTAGTTGCATTTCAGCCTCTGGCTCGAGGAAACGAGACCGTATATGGATTTTCCCGCTTCTGATTACATTTTGAATCTATCAAATCAAGAAAAAATAAACGGAAGTGAAACGAACCGCAGAGAAAGAATCTGCACCCGACAATCTATCAGAGAGTATGAAGAATCCGTGTGTGTGGTACATACAACCAGCATGATCAAAGATAGAATTTAGAAAAAGTCATGGTTCTTAATTTATTCACTGAATAAACAATCAGCTCGCGCAGAGCGATTGCGAGCAATTCTGAAGATTACGTGTATGATTCGCGGGATATGGCATGAACTAAGGAACAGATGGAACTATTTAGTTTGGAATAGAATTATGCGACCATCATTTACATGATCGGCGAATTGAAAATGAGACACAATTCACACGACCATGACACAACACCATGACCGTAGCGAATTCGGTTACGTGATCCAAACAGCGCACAAATATGGAGTTTTCTTGGGCTCACTGCCAAACACACGACTCATCCACCTTTCTGTTTGACCTAATTGAAATTGTTTCATACATGAATGTGATTGCAAAGGCTTAACAAGGATTTCACCTAATGCATATGTTCGTCTACATTGTGTGTTTCTAATCAATGGGCATTTTTCGCGATTTGAAAAAAATCTAAGTCCTGATGATCCGAGCCCAAAGTCTACAGTCAGTATCTTCCCTGCACCTCGAACATTTTACCACAATTAGGTTCAGTGCAGGTTACGCACATCGTCAAAAGAAATGCATTGTCATCGAGCTCTGCACGCAACATTCCCATGGTGCACTTCAGCAACTGAATCCGAACAAGGAACTAGTGATTTCGAAAGCGGAAAAAGGCGCTGGAATGCACGGAGTTCATTACTTTAAACAAGAAGCAATTTCGACTGACAGGACCACATTAAAGCAAACTGACAGGAATAAACTAATACCGACGCTTATGAAAAGCAGTTAACGACATGACGGTAAAGGCTAGAGAGTGAGAACCTTATCGCAGCGAATGAAATCTGAAAGCCTAGAACTCCAAAGCTCAGGTATCCCAAATCTATACGGCTTTCCCCATTTACATAACCGAACTGTCTTCTATGATCCTTACTTTCGAAGTTTGATTCTCCGTACCACGCGACTGCATGATGGCTGGTCTCCAAGCTGAAACCTATCCCGAAGAACGTTTCGAAATTCAACCTATCCGAAATAGATCAGTTGTTCGAAGAAGTCGAAAATTCGAACCTAAAAAAACAAAACACTTTACTTCGCTGGATGTGTCCTCATATTTCACTAATATGTCACTAGTTAAAACAATTGATTATCTCTGTAATTGAAAGCGCAGAGCCAGAAAAACATCGCGATTCTGATATCATATCTTAAAGATCTACTTTTGCTTTGCATCATGAACGGTCAATCCTCATGCAATGGCCACATGCCATGCCGCCAAGTTGATCATGTGGCAGACGTGTTTTAGCGAAGCTTCGAAAACCACGAGCTAGAATGCAAAATCTCTGAACTGGATGCGTATCGTTGCTACGTTGATGGTCTTTGCCATCAAAAATTCAAAAACAAATGTTTCGACACTTTTATTGACTTTGAACGAGGCACATGAGTAGATACAACTTTAAGTTGGAGCATGAAAGAGAGGTACACATTCTTATCCTCAATGAGCTGCTTTTGCCAAATGACGATGGAACCATTGAGAGAAGCGTGTGAAGAAATCACATCTGGACTGGGAGATAGTCTAGCTTCTACATTGCCGTAGCAATCCAACAAAAACGAAACTTTGTGCGCTGTCTAGCTCACCGAGGAAGGACG